AAACTCTCCTTCTTCCCTCCCTCTATCATAGCTCAATCATACTTAATGCTGTCTTTCCCCTCACTCCATCCATCTCTGTCATCCTCTCTCTCTCTTTCTCCTTCGCTGAGCCTTTGCTGATGCACTCCTGGCCATTAATAAAAATTTTATACATAGTCAGGAAGTGCATTTGCAGCGGGAGCGGCTGGAGGCTCTCAGGACGGCAGGAAATGAGCCTCTGGCTGTCGGCCAGCTCGGCTATTCCGAGGGGCCGGCGGCTCGACCAATCAGAGAGCTCACTTCACTTAATGGAATATGGATAATTCACCCCCAAACTATTAGCGACAATTGCGTGGTGCGAAGGGGGGACGGGGTATGTGTGTTTGTGTGTTGCGAGAGGAGTTTGGGGTGTGTTTTGATGGGTTGTGGATGCGTGTGTGTGTTCACATCTTCGCCCATGTCCATGTAATGGGGTGATGATTTGTAAGTATCTCCATGTGTGTACGGGACCAGGCTGGGTGAGGGGCAGCAGGGGAAGATTGAGAGAACGGAGGAGGGGTGGGCATTAATTCTGATCAGATACAGATGGTGGTGTTTACGTAGCTCAGTGGTACAGAGCAGGAGGATGAGAGGGCTTGACTAGTTGTTTGGAAGAATAAGCTCCGCTTGAGTGTGTGGGGTTAAGGCCGCTTTAAAAATTATACTTCAAGGAATCTGCAAGAATGGCTCACTCTGCTTTCTGGGGTTTAGTTTAAAGGGACAGTTCATGCAAACATCATTGTTTACTCACCCTCATGTCATTCTAAAACTGGGTGACTTTCTTTCTGTGGAACACAAAAGGACAAATTTTGAATTCTGTACTGGTCACTCTTCAGTGAATAGGGGTTTCAAGCTTCAAAAAGGATGCAGAGATACTGTAAATGTAAGTGATTCATATGACTCATGCACATTTAAATTTTAAGCTGATAACTACTGTGAGTGAGCTGAACTTGACAACCAACTCGGTCTGATTCATGAACAAATCACTCAAAGGGGTTCTGTGAATCAGATCCAGTCAGTTCATTGAAAAGATTCAAAAAAGCATTAATTCACAAATCACACATCACGTCTACCATGAACTCTCAAAACAATGCCAATGACAGCTAGAGTGGATGATTTTCAGTAAATAACAGCTTAAATTTCTGTCTGTTCTTTCATGGGCCTTTTTTTTTTAAAGCAAGTCTTCTGGTGCCAGTCACTTCCAGTAAATTTAGCTGTATAAAACAGTCCATGCTGCTTGATACTGCAAAAAATTGCTATCATATCATCATAAAATTTATTGTCATAATCTGAAACACATTGGTTTATAGCACAAATAGTTATACCGTTCACTGCGCTTTGTTATTCTTCTAGTTATTTACATTTGACAGCTTATAATGAATCAGTCTTGCACATTCACAAGAAATAGCTTAATTCATTATCGCAAAATGAGGTAGAGATAGTGTCGTATACATGTTTATGACATTTTGATATTGTGTGCTTTTTTCAGTGTTGGTGGTAACGCATTACATGTAATGCAAGTTGCGTAATCAGATTACTTTTTTCAAGTAACTAGTAAAGTAACACAACACTTTTAAATTTAAAATATCTGAGTTACTTTATCAAGTAAAGTAAGTTTTTTGTTATTAAACAAATAATCAAGGCCAGCCCGGTTGACAAAATGTAACGTAACAGTAACGTAATGCATTACTTTCCATAAAGAGTAACTGCAGTAAATGCACTTACACTTTTTTATAGAGTAACGCAATATTGTAATGCATTACTTTTAAAAGTAACTTTCCGCAACAGTTGTTTTTTTTTGTCCTTTTGAAACATTTTCATCATATGGAAAAGATGGTCTTCAAAAATTCACCATTTGTGTCCCACGGTCATACAGGTTTGGAACAGGGTGAGGCTGAGTAAATGGTGACAGAATATTCATTTATTTTATGTGAACTATCCCTTTAAGCAATCTGGATGAGGCAAGGCCCTGAGTGAGGGGTGTTTTGTAACTCAATATTACAGCTTCATCTCCAGTGGTGCTTTGACATGGGAAGTGATCTTTACACTAACACTGTCATAACAGAACAAACGCACATTCACACAAGCACTCTCAGTTTCTCTATTTATCAAACCCCAACATCAGAAGTCCATTGAGCTTTCCTGTTTGGTATCTTTTTCTGCTTTTTATGTCCTAATTCTACATCTCTTTTTCATGTTTGTGTTTCACATAGGCAAACGTGCAAATTGCTCTGGTTCACGCACACACAGAATACATAGTGCCGGCAGAAATGAATGACTTTGTCAGCTGTGTGCCGGTCATTAACCAGGCCATTTAACATTGATCCTTCTATGGCCCAGTACTGCCTCTCTCTCTCATTCTCTCTCTCTCCCTGCCAGTATGATCGCAATGGGCTGAGGCAGTGACAGGCCTTGGGGGAAAATGCAAACCAGTCAATGTTCCCATCACACTCACACACTGATAAAAAGTGAGATGGATACATGCTATTGCATCATGCAGATGGAAGAAGATAAAAAAGGGCTTGAGTAATTTTACGTCATTGCTATAAATGTATTATTTCGGGGAATTTGTACTTCACTCCAATATCATTGAAACAGATCTTTATAAAGATCTAATCCTATCAGATTACTGTACATTATAACTTATTTTTATTGTAAAAAACAATAACAATAACAACAACTGTAAGTTATTAAATATCTAATGTAAAATGACAAATCAAATCAGGATCAAATCAAATCAGCTAATAATTTATAAGATTAACAATTTTAGGTAATAGGTTTGAGGACGTTGATTTCAAATATTTATTCCATCTTAGAGTCCTAAATAATAATTCATTTACATGTTCAATTCGATTTTTCTTTTCATTTTTTTTTAAATACCATTTTAACATATAAACATTATGTATGTTAGAAAAAACAATTCTGAGAACTTTAATGAGAGCGTCTCTTTTGTCTTTTATTTTCCTGTCAGTTTCTAAGTAAAAAAAAAATAAAAATTTTAAACTTGCTTATCAGTAACTTTTTAAAATGTTAAATTTATTAGCATAAGTATAGTATGTAACATATTTATTACTTAAGTTTGATTAAATATGGTAACTATTTTTAATTGCACTGGATTTTGACACATTACCTAAACTTGAGTATATATTTTTTTGAGTATCATTTTATGTTTTATGAATAGTTGCATATTTTGAGACCACGAATTATAAAGAATAGAATCAGACACCAGTAAACAGAATTTAGACAAAAATCAGATACCAGTGAACAGAATTTTACTGTTATTTTTTCAGGAAATTAACATCCATCTCCTAGCACACTGAGAGAACACAAATTTCATTGTGTTTATGTAGATTAGCAGAGATTTTGTTTTTGCGCTAAAGCTGTTCTGTCATGTGTTTTGAGTGTGTTCAGTATAGAGAAACCTGATTCACTCTCTTCTCTCTGCACTGTTTGGCCATCCTAGCTATTTCCCTCGACAGGAAGCCAGGAAGCACCCCTCTTCCTGCCCCATTACGCACACAGACATACACATTCGCATTAACACACACACATACGCTCACATACACACAAAATGTGTCCTGTTACCTTGGAGATACCTTCCATGTGCTATCAATAGCCTGTCATGAACACATATCCTGTATTTTATGCTCCAGCCAGTGCATTCACATTATCCTTTTGTTTATTTCATTGCAGGAAAAATAGTAAGGCTTTCAACACTGTAGACCATAAATAATCCTTACTTTCATCTAAATTTACATTTGTTCGTACTTGAATTTCACTGCCATTATGATAAGGCAGTTTGTTGTCTGTTGGCAATGACTAAAGTGAAGTAGAAAGGAACATGGGCTGGGTTCCAATCCGTCATGCACTCGATTGAGACACTGAATTATTCACTGTTCTAGGATGTAACCTGCTCTAGGACAGCTGCTAGCTGCCACAAACATATCAGAATGGTTCAGTGAGTTCCCAAATGTTAAGTCTACAACCACATGAAATTCATATACCTCCATGTTCTGTTCATGTTCATTAACCGTGAAGTTCAAGGTCTTTTGTTGTTCTTCTTTTCTTTTAAATGTAGCTGCCATGCACTTATTTTCCCTTTTCAGTGACCCTAACTATATATGGACACTTTTAGACACTTAAGACAAAGTTTTAATGCATTAGAAACATTTGTGTCATCTTTTCTCAGAGCTAACTTCACTTTTCTGAACCTGTTTTTCAATGACTTTTAATCAGTTGGTGTCAAAATGGTCTTTAGTGAATGTATGAAGTCAGTTCTCCTCAGGTTCACACAGGTGTCATAGACATTACATTATTATATTACATGCTTCATTCTGAATAGGGTGCATATTCATTTACAATGTGATATGTTGCTTCTAATGCACAGAATACATACTTTTAACTGTAGCATAAGTGCCCAAATACTTATAGGTGCATCTACTGTATGCCAGGGTAAGACCAGCAAGACTGGAGTTTGTTGATATAAACTTTCCCCATGAAGTTCTTGTCAGTTATTGTGTTTCTCATCTCTCTCCCTCATTGTTTTCATCACCTATCATATTGTTGAGTCATATCTTCCTTCTTTTTGTCCATCTCTCACTGTCTTCATCTCTCTCTCTCTCTCTCTCTCTCTCTCTATCTCCTGTTCTCTTCCTCCCTCTGTCCATCTTGTTAGGCTTAGCTCAGGGAATCATATAGAACAGTTCCTGAGGGGCAGAAAATGAGAGATTGGGTTTCAGCCCGATGATGCCACTTAGCCATTAACTATCTCCAGCAAAACCAAGTACCCCCCACTCCAACCCCCTCCGCCTGGCCTTCTTCCTTTTACCATTCATAACCAACCACCCCTCCTCCTTCTCCCCGTCCCATCTCCCTCCCTCTCTCCCTCACTGTTTCCCACCCTCCATCTCTATCTCTCTCTCACACACACACACACACACACACATATATATGTACACACACACACACACGCTCTGGGAGTGAGTGGATGATCGCACGAGCAGGAAGCGCTGACCGTACACAGATAGAGAGAGAAAAAGAGAGACAGAGAGTCCGAGAGAGACAATCCAACATTTACATTTTCAGCTCATTCTGAGAGAAGACAAACTACATAGCCACTGCTGAGCTCTTTTCACACTGTTATGTGGAAGTACTTCTGAAAAGCAAAGCTCCTCTCCGTTACTTTGCCCCGGGGACATTTTTGTTTCTTATTCAAATAAATTGGGATATTCCGTGAGACATGTTGCCCTCGTTTCCACAAGAATCGTGTCTTTCTTCTGAGTGCTCTTTGAACGTGCAGTGCTCTAGCTGTTCTTCAGAGGCAATGACTGAGCGCTGAGGAACCAGGATTGCTTGCACGTGTGGGACAGTTGTGAAGAAGCATTGGGAGGCAGAAGAGAGAAAACTGCTCAAGAAAACATAAAAGAAAGAAAGAAAACAAGAAACAAACAAACATAAAATACTGTTTTGGCGCAAAATGGATCTCCCTCCTTTTAGGGGTAAGCACTCGTTTATTTAAATCTCTTTTAGTCTTAGTCTTAATCGGTTTCAGTCTGTTTTTTTACTTTTTTACTTTTTTTTTAGCTCAAATGGTTTTCTCTTGAGATTCTCTAGATCTAGTTCTAGATGTTCTCTGAATGAAATATAATCTAGTTGACATATAATGGGAGTAGAATATCATCCACGTGAGAGATGATCTCTGTGTGACGCGTAGTGCCCTAAACGCAAGTCCTACTCTGACCCAGCCAATGCACAGGGCTTCGGGCATAAAGACATGGAATTGATTGTCCTCAAGGTCGGAGATGTCAATATTACCCAGTTTGTGCTGGCAGAGACTGATGGAGAGGTTGGAAGTTGAGTGGGAAAGGACATGGGATAGCGCTGCACACAGCGGTCTAACTGCGAAGTTTCTGTGCGTTTGGAACTGGTTTTGTGATAAAGTTCTCAAAGTAGAGGCTGGCAAAAAGAATGTGAATTTTGTGAATGGCATAGGTTTACAACAGTGGTTCAAAGTTTCCTCAATTTGTCAGTTAATTTAGTTTAAAATGTTATAATAGTTTAATTTATTATTATTAATCTGTAATGTGTTTTACATTTACACTACAGTTTGTTATTATTTGTTATTGTTAGTCATTTTTGTGTTTCTCTCACTGAGTAGTACTCCCTCACTAACTTTGTTATATATTCCTCCTTTCTCTAAGTGACCCTCCCCCCTTCCTCTTCTCAGTCTCTCTCTGTTTCTCTCTCACCCAAACTTGCTGGTCTGCAGTGTCTATTTCAGTCCTTCCTGGGGGTCGGATTCGGCACATCCGGAATCTCATACAATTTATTGTCATTCAATCCCACTGTGTTCCCAGAGGGGCCAGTGGGGCAGATCCCAGGGTCCTGGTGCCTGACAACTCAAGTCCAGCTGCAGTTAAGTCTGACCTCTAGGAGCGTATATATGCCCTCTGCGAAGCCCTCGGCCCTTACCCCCTGCGACTACCAGCTAATCAACCCTCAGTCAGCAATTGCCAATCTGCCACTCTATTTGAGTCAGAGAGAGAGCAGAAATGGAAAATGGATATCTCTAATGACAGTTAGCCTGCAGGAAGTCAGACTGGCCTGATGGCTGGCTGCAGAACTGCTGGATGCTTATCAGCAGCAGCAGGGGTTAATGAAAGGTGACTGGAGGCTTTAAAATAGCACCACAACATGATGTCACTGGCCGACATCCCATCAGCCCCCAAACAAACGGATGGCATCAGCACCTCATTCACCTGATGGCTACACCTACATATAGATAAACAGGCTGAAAAATCTTCAATCTCTTCCAATGTTGTCCAACTACCCTTTACGGGACAAATGTTTTGCCTTTTCTCCTTTGCCTGTTCTCTCCTCCTTGTTTAGAGGTTTAAAGTTTCTCCAAGTCAGTGGTGTGAGGTGACTGTTATGAATAATATGCTCTTCTCATCCTCTTCCTGCCCTGGATTGGATTACCCTGGCCAAGGATGTGTGCAAGGTAACGGGCGCAAGGAGCCCCGGGGCAGAGCCGCGAGGTACAGCTCACTCAGCACTGATACTCCCAAAGCGCAGGGGCCTGTCTTCAGGTTACCCCTCATGGCAGGCAGGACTGAGTAAACACGGCCCTCTCTCCCCTCGTTTTCTCTCTCTGGTGCTCCAGATGCAGCTGTCTCTCACTTGCTCTGAGCTGTATGCATGGTTCTGGGACTTAAAGTGTGTCTTAACCTGGGACAGGTGTTGGCTTGGAATATGTTGTCTTCTTGTACACTCAAAGTCTCCCTTTTACTTTTTGATTAATTTGTATTTATTTATTTTAGATCAGATGTCACATGCATGTCTATTCCCTCTACTATAGTGGTTTAAATGTGATACAAAGTTGGATCAGGGCTCTTGTGACATGAAAGAAAAAAAGAAATACAGACAGCCATTAGTGGTGAATGGTTATTGGATTTGCTTTACTTCATCCAATGTAAGATATGCTATCAAGTTTGGAGAGTCAGATACAGCGTATCCTTTTAAATGATAAAACCATCCAGCGAAAAATAGAGGATGGAGTCTTCGGATGTGGGACCAGAAAAAAACTATGCTTTGGATGAATGCAGGATTGCAGAAACAGATCCCAAACTCTGCCTTCAGGATAGCTGTTCTAAACGAATCTATTTTATAGTGAATGCTGAAGTAGTGTAGTTTAACCTTCCTCTTTCCTTCAATCCCTATCATCACCCCATTAAAATAAATTGTACTCTAAATCAAGTGTAGCTAGGTGTTTGCTCATTTAATGCTTTTAAGAGGTGATGGTAAGAGCTTACGAATGAGAAGACTTCATCTGAACAACACAATCAATATCCTAGTGTACACTGTCACAATGCAAGCAGATTTGAATCAACATGTCCAAAGTCTGAATGTTCCCTAAACAACAGCCAGTAGCACTTTGGAAGGCACTTAAGTAGCAGTTATTTGTTTAAGAGACAACAATTGTGCAAGTTCCACTGTAGAGACATGATAGACCAGTCCACAGCTCCAGTACAACCTCGCCCTGGTGTGCGGTCTGGGGCATGTGGGGCTAAAGAGTGCTCTGGGACTCGATAGGGAGTGGTAGAGTGCTCTTTGTTGGGGGGTTTGAGTGGCAGGGTGATCTGCTGGGCTTCCTGATGTCAACACTTTGCCTGCTATGCAGCTGGAGTGTGACTTATCGATCCTCTGGCACCCTTGCTGCTGCTTTTGGGTGGGGTGAAAGATTGTGTTGGGGGCTGTTATATAGCAACTTCTGCTCTGGCCTTCTGCTTCGCAGCTTATTTTACAAATGTGCCATGTTCATTGAGAAAGTGAGCATGGAGGTGGTTGGGGAACGCTAGTGGGAGGCAGTTTTCGGTTAATGGATGGTGGCTTTCCAAATAGTCTGGCTCAGGGGAAGTAACTCGCAGAATAAAAGGGTATTTCATTAATGATAACTTGGGAGGAAATGCAGCGTTTTGAGGTGTAATTTGGGTCTGTTTTTACACAAGAGCACTGCAAGTCAGTGGAAAGTTCCAAATAAACTCCAGTGTAGCCGCGAATGATAAATGCTCTTAAGTGCTGACACACTTGAGGAAAACCACATGGAGAGGACATGTGCAAATGCTCAAACAAATATGCAACCAAAAGTGCCTGACATGACACAGATGAGCTAACCCAAAACTTCCTCTCTGGCTTGCCTGCAGATGCGAGACTAAAAGTCCAATGTTGTTTTCGAAGTCATGCCCCGAATAATGAGCTCATGGAAATGAACAGCAGACCCCTTTCAACAATTAGATGGACTGATAGGACCCGACTACAGTGCTCTGCTGGGTTTGATGTAATTACTCTCCAGGACTTCTCTTTCCTCCTCTGTGTAATTTGCAAATGCATTTTGTGCTTCCGACCTGGGCCTCCTTATCTTGAGTTTCTGGCTGGGCAGAGGGGGTGGGGGAGGATGCTATCTTACCTTTTTTTGCGAGAGCATTCAGGGCTCTTGCCAGGAATTCAGCTGACTGTGCCCCGGATGCTTGGGGGACTGGGAGCAGACACTGCTTCTTCTAATCACTGCTGTTGTGCATGGATTTCCGTTGCTTGTTATGTCAGAGGCAGCTCTCTTTTCTTGTCCAATCTCTTCATCCTGATCACACATTGACTTTTGAAACTGTCTGAGAGTCTGACAAACATCAAAAAGTGGTCTTCTCCACATCTCGATGGAAGAAAGTAAAACTCGTCGTTATCTAATCCAGTGCAATCCAAGGTCTTGTTCGGCTATGACATCCAATAATGCAAGCAGCATGTTTCTCAATTCCAGGATGCTGATTTTTTCCATGCACATTCCAATAGCCATGTTGTTCCTGTTTATGGAGGATAAGGCTTAACAAAAGAAGGGCTGCGGGGAGGGGCTACAGCAAATTCCTCCAAGCTGCTGAGGAAGAGATACCTCAGGACACTGACACTAAGTCTTTTGGGTTCCCCAGTTTCTCACAATTCATTGCTGTCAAATTCTTTGTTCTGGTTCCGTTCCCTTGTGTCAACAGCTGTGTTCTCCAGATGCTAAATTACAGTGTGATGTCAATGGCGTTATCTCTCCATCCTCTGTGTCTAATAATAAACGTAGCTTTAGCCATGGACCATCTGAAAGGAGTAAAAGGAGGACTCATATGAACATTTGCTTTTTTTGCACCTACACATTATGCAGACTCAATTTAAACTTAAACCATTTTATTTGATTCTAAATCTAACAATGATGCCTTTGTTTTATTCTTTTCTTACAACAGGTTTATCCGATGTACCGTGATATTGGTCAGCCTTGCAGCTCAGCCCCTACCCTGGTGGCCCTTAAAGAATGGATCCAGTACCACCTTTTCGGATGGACCCTGAAAGCCTGGATCTTCAGCAGGTCCCTGTATTGTCTATTGACCAGATCCGTGCTATAAGGGCTAATAATGACTATGTGGAACGCCCTGTGGCGCTGGACCCTGCCTCTCAGGTTGCCTTCTATCCACATGATGAACGGCATCCTCAGATGTCTCGCAGTCAAAGTCAGCATCAACATTCCCACTTGGCCCACTTAAGTCGCTCCAGTACCGTGAGCTCCATGTCCCGTGGCAGTGCTGCTTCGGACCAGAGACTTCTTGCAGGATTAACACCCTCCCATTCTGGTCTAGCTGTGGTGAGGTCCCAGCCCAAAGGCGACTTGAAACCCGACTCACTGGGCAGTGGAAAGTTCCAAATAAACTCCAGTGTAGCCGCGAATGATAAATGCTCTTAAGTGCTGACACACTTGAGGAAAACCACATGGAGAGGACATGTGCAAATGCTCAAACAAATATGCAACCAAAAGTGCCTGACATGACACAGATGAGCTAACCCAAAACTTCCTCTCTGGCTTGCCTGCAGATGCGAGACTAAAAGTCCAATGTTGTTTTCGAAGTCATGCCCCGAATAATGAGCTCATGGAAATGAACAGCAGACCCCTTTCAACAATTAGATGGACTGATAGGACCCGACTACAGTGCTCTGCTGGGTTTGATGTAATTACTCTCCAGGACTTCTCTTTCCTCCTCTGTGTAATTTGCAAATGCATTTTGTGCTTCCGACCTGGGCCTCCTTATCTTGAGTTTCTGGCTGGGCAGAGGGGGTGGGGGAGGATGCTATCTTACCTTTTTTTGCGAGAGCATTCAGGGCTCTTGCCAGGAATTCAGCTGACTGTGCCCCGGATGCTTGGGGGACTGGGAGCAGACACTGCTTCTTCTAATCACTGCTGTTGTGCATGGATTTCCGTTGCTTGTTATGTCAGAGGCAGCTCTCTTTTCTTGTCCAATCTCTTCATCCTGATCACACATTGACTTTTGAAACTGTCTGAGAGTCTGACAAACATCAAAAAGTGGTCTTCTCCACATCTCGATGGAAGAAAGTAAAACTCGTCGTTATCTAATCCAGTGCAATCCAAGGTCTTGTTCGGCTATGACATCCAATAATGCAAGCAGCATGTTTCTCAATTCCAGGATGCTGATTTTTTCCATGCACATTCCAATAGCCATGTTGTTCCTGTTTATGGAGGATAAGGCTTAACAAAAGAAGGGCTGCGGGGAGGGGCTACAGCAAATTCCTCCAAGCTGCTGAGGAAGAGATACCTCAGGACACTGACACTAAGTCTTTTGGGTTCCCCAGTTTCTCACAATTCATTGCTGTCAAATTCTTTGTTCTGGTTCCGTTCCCTTGTGTCAACAGCTGTGTTCTCCAGATGCTAAATTACAGTGTGATGTCAATGGCGTTATCTCTCCATCCTCTGTGTCTAATAATAAACGTAGCTTTAGCCATGGACCATCTGAAAGGAGTAAAAGGAGGACTCATATGAACATTTGCTTTTTTTGCACCTACACATTATGCAGACTCAATTTAAACTTAAACCATTTTATTTGATTCTAAATCTAACAATGATGCCTTTGTTTTATTCTTTTCTTACAACAGGTTTATCCGATGTACCGTGATATTGGTCAGCCTTGCAGCTCAGCCCCTACCCTGGTGGCCCTTAAAGAATGGATCCAGTACCACCTTTTCGGATGGACCCTGAAAGCCTGGATCTTCAGCAGGTCCCTGTATTGTCTATTGACCAGATCCGTGCTATAAGGGCTAATAATGACTATGTGGAACGCCCTGTGGCGCTGGACCCTGCCTCTCAGGTTGCCTTCTATCCACATGATGAACGGCATCCTCAGATGTCTCGCAGTCAAAGTCAGCATCAACATTCCCACTTGGCCCACTTAAGTCGCTCCAGTACCGTGAGCTCCATGTCCCGTGGCAGTGCTGCTTCGGACCAGAGACTTCTTGCAGGATTAACACCCTCCCATTCTGGTCTAGCTGTGGTGAGGTCCCAGCCCAAAGGCGACTTGAAACCCGACTCACTGGGCAAAGGACTGACTGACGATGAGGACTTGGGCCTGCATCTCTTCATCTGTGAACGTTGTGGCCACTGCAAGTGCCAGGAGTGCTGTGCCCCACGTAATTTGCCCTCCTGTTGGACCTGTGGCCAGCGCTGCTTGTGTTCTGCAGAAAACGTCTTGGAGTACGGCACCTGCCTGTGCTGTGTGAAGGGTCTGTTCTACCACTGCTCGGCAGATAAGGAGGACAACTGTGCCGACCGACCGTGCTCCTGCGCCCCAGCTCACGCCTGCTCCCGCTGGAGTGCTATGGCCTTCCTGGCACTCTGCCTGCCTTGCCTGTGCTGCTACCCTCCTGCCAAGCTGTGCCTCACTCTGTGCCAGCGTGGCTATGATCGCGCCACCCGTCCCGGCTGTCGATGCAGCAACACCAACGCTGTGTGCCGCAAGATCTCTGCCACCAACTCCGTGCCCTTTCGTAAAACCCTGGAAAAGCCTGTATGACATCATGAATGAGCCTCTTGCAATCCTCCCTCGAGGAGACACCTCTGATGCTGAAGCAGCCGGGGAATTCTGCTAAATGAACTGACCTACTCTAAACCAATCAGGTCTCCCTGCATCATGTCCATCATCATGTATCCTACTTCCCTCTTTTTTTAGTAAATCCGTGTCTATTTATTTATTTATTAGACTTCCAGGATAGAGTTGGGTAATGTGAACCGTATGTAACACACAGGGAGTATGCTATCAGAATTAATGCAGAGGTTGTACTGGGTAAAAGGATCACCTAGACATGGGAAGCTGTCAACAGGAAGTCAGTGCTGAGTGTGTCTTCTTCGGCCTTACTGAATGAAAAAACTGTAAGCAAGATGGCTTACTCTAGACTCTACACGGATACAGGGCGCTGGTTAGGGAGAAGAGCCCAACAACAACAACAACAACAAAAATCAGACTATGTAAGTCAATTCTGTTTGACACCAAAAACGGGACCATACAAAAATCAGAATATTAAGCTCACCTAAGAGGGATGTGTTTCAAGAACGGCGGTAAAGAGAGACATTGTGCGCATGAGTGTGTGGTAAGGAAGAAGAAGGACAAATGTGTGTGTGTGTGTGTATGTGTGTGCAGTCTCAGGCCGGCATCTGCTGTCAGCAGAAGCCTCTCTTTTTATTTTTAGAGGAGCTACTCTGAAAGATAAAGTGTCTGGTCAGGTTTCCAGCCCAGGGCAGCCTGACGCCAACCTCTCCCAAGCACTCTTACATCCTCAACTCTCTTTTCCACTGCTGCCCATAGTGCTTTCCAACTGCTCAACAACAGCGATAGATAACTTGACTGTTTCTGCATCCAACCACGTTGTGGGACCAAACATCAAAAGGGACTGTCTGTCCAACTTTGACAGTGCTCTCAGGATGAGATACAAGCCATTACTTTGAGAGCTCTTGGATAAATTGGCCAGACAACCTGTAGGACCATGATTTAGGTTAACATCAGATCTGAGCAGTATCAGCCAAATGAAGCCATTGTGGTTCCCCGGTTATGCCATACATGGGACATTAACATTTCTAAGGACTTTGGCCTTTCCTGAGGTTCTCTGGTTGGCCCTGAATGATTCACAGGAAAT